ATTTGTTTCTGTGGTAACCTCCACGTGGGCAGGGATCTTTATTTTGTTCACCACTGAGTTTCCAAGGCCCACGACCCTCCTACATATGGAAGGCACTAGGGACTGCCTCCCTCTACATCCTGACACTTCGGGCTTCTCGACTAGGACACGCCCCTGGGCTGAGCAGTCTCCGAGACACTGCTTCCGGTGAGGCCTGGGAACCAAGGAGCCAAGGACTACAGCCCAGAGCCCACCTCCCGCAGGCCTGCTCTCGCTCCCCTGTTGCCCAGTGACTGTGCAGCCCCAGCTGCCCTCGTCCCTGCCCTGCCAGTCACGTGGCAGTGGCTCCCATGCCCTGCGCAGATACTCAGCAGCCCTGATCCTCACAGCTTCCAGGCCACCCAGGCCAAGGCTGCCTCCCCACCGAAGGAAAAGAGAAGGAGCTGCCCTGTGCTGGGCACTCCAGAATACATCTGGCCTTTCCTCGTCACCCCATTTAGTCTGTGCAACCTGTGAGGTGCCAGTGCTATGGCTGCACCTGCAACTTTACATCTGAAGAAGCCAACTCAGAGGCAAAGCCCTGTACCCGGAGGGCCCTCAGTGGCATGTGATGGCAGTGGCCACTCCCTCCTGCCTCGTCACACTTCTAGCTCTCCGTGATTTCCATACCCTTCGCCCTGCCTGCTCATCTTTACCAGCTCATTCCCCGTGTGACCTCTCGTATCAAGGGTCCCAGGCCCAGATCTGGGTCCTGTTCTCTGTTGAGCCACAGCAGCCCTGAGGCTGATGATTCCAAGCAATGGCTTAACAACGGGCTTCCCAGGGCCGGGGCGGATGCGTCTGTCTACACACATGTTCATTTATAATACATTTTACTGCTATAAAGGATTGTAGCATGCAATTTACAAATAATAATAAAATACACAATACCTTTACTGTGAATTCCATCTAGCCCATTGATTCTTGGGGAAGGCTTCCATTGATTTTTGCTGAATTCTTGCATCCACAGCCAACCTACAGTTGTAACTAACAAGACTAGTTCAACGTGAGTGTTGCTTGATATTTTTGTGTACTAGAGGAGATGAAAGCAAAACAACAAAAACATGTTGGGATTTCACTTTGTCAGTGAGTGACTTCTTTGCTGAGTCAGGTAATAGTTGTCAAATACTGTAAAACAATTTCCTTCTTTTGTGCTAGTGACACCGTAAGTACTATAGATGACACGCTTTGAAGTTTAATTGGCACTATTAACATTTTCTTCATTATTTTAAGTCTACTCAATCAACAAAACAAATTGATCTGTAGCGTTTCCCAATTCCCAGGGTGTACACACTCCCGCCACATGGATTTCAAGCCATCGGTTGGGGGAAGTGCGGAGCGTGGCTGGAGGGAGGGAGGGAGTGCAGCGAGCACCGTGTGAACACGTCCGCCACCCAGCACGGCCACATGAGCTCCAGAGCACAGATAATGGCAAATGTAGCAATTAGGAAAGGATGAGTTTTGAGTTACTGACCTTTTTAAAGTTAGGTTGACATTGATACAGTAAAATCCACTCCCTGTGGTCTATAGTTCTGTAAGTTTTGACAAATGCAGTCCTGTGACCGCTCTCGCGTGAAACCTAGCAGAGAGACGGCTGCGTCGGGGGCTTTTTTCCGTAAGGGCCGCACCGTCTCGCGCCCCCGCCGGCGGCAAGCGAGCGTCCTGCCGCTCGGCGTCCTTGCGGGCACGTGGACTCGTCGCGCTGTGTTTGGTCAGAGGTTCTTCCAGCCACTTTCATAGGTGTGTGGTGGCGTCTCGCTGTGGTTCTAATTGGCATTTCCCCAACTGACGACGTTAGTGTCTTTACATGTGCTTGTCAGGTGTGTGTCTTCGTTGGTGAAACGTCTATTCAAATCTTTTGCCTAATTTCTAATTGGGTTGACTTCTTATTGATGGGGGTTTTGAGAGTTCTTTACATATTCTGGATACAAGTCTTTTGTCAGATATGTAATTTGCAAATGTTTTCCCCCTGTTTGTGGCTTATCTTTTTATTTGCTTAACAATTTCTTTCACAGAAAAAAGGTTTTAGTTTGGTGAAGTCCAATTTATCAGTTTTCAAATTTTGTAAATGGTGACTTTGGTGCTGTATCCCCTCCGGTTCTATTTACCACCTCGTGCCCACACACCAGCGCCTGGCTCTCAGCAGTCCCCGACCACAGATGGTGAGTGAACCAATGAAGGAACGAATGAATGAGCAGCAGAGCCTGAAGGAACAGCACTCAGCCCGGCTGCCAGGCGCTGGATCCACGAAGCCCTGCCGTGGGCCACCTGGCCCCTCACCGCCATCGCCCCCTCCAGCAACACTGAACTTGTGGCTTCTACAGATGGAGCCCCCATCACCTCAGGCCTTCCCGAGGCTGAAACCCTCTCCCCACCTTACCTGGCTTGTTCTTCAGGCATCCAGCAGGTCGCAGCTTGGGTATCGCCGTCTCAGAGGCCAGGGGCCTTCTCAGCTCCAACCGCCCACGGCCTCCGCCTCGGTACGGGTCACACTGCTCCCGCCCATCTGCCCCACCAGACCACGAGTTCCCTGACAGCAGGGCCCGTGACTTCCTAATCTCAGAACCCTGACGCCTAACACACGCTGACGCTCAGTAAATAGTTTGAGTGAAGGAGGAACGAACAAGTGAATTAACAAAGTTGGCTGAGGGAGGGGTGGGGACCTAGACCCAATGCCCCCCCCATCCCTGTCCTCCACACAGACCACCTTGTTCAGCCCAGCCCAGGAGCAGGGAACCAACAGTCACGCAGGGCCTACGGCCACGGCTCTCAGTGGCCCCACTGTGCGACGGTGAGCAGAAGAGGAAAGCGGCCTTCAGGCCCTGTAAAAAGTCACAGCACCCCACAGGCCTGTGGCTGTGGCCCCATTACCGTTCCCTGCCTAACGTGGAGCCCTGGTCACACTCCCAGGATGGCACCCAGTGGGAAGGCAGAGAAGGGGTCCTCCCTGACCTGCCGATGATCGCCAATGCTGAATCGGGAGTGGAACCAGAGCCCACCTCTGAGCAGCCCAAGCTGGAACCCTGGGCCGCCCGTCTCCTGCGAGGGTCTGCTCAACAGCCAGGACGAACCTGGGTGAGGCCAAAGAGAAAACAGACTGCGGCCCCACCCGCGCCCTCCGAGACACCCTGAGTGTGGGGGGTGGGGACAGAGGGTGACAGCAGTCCCACCACCCGGCCTGCAGCCTCAGCAGCCTGGCGCTGGTCCTGCTCCCTCACTGCGGTGCTCCTGTGCCCCCAAGTCCCTCAGCGCTCATGGCCCAAAGTGTCCCTTCTGCTTTACAGATGTGCTATTTCACACGGCACACCTGAGGGTAGAGGGGATACCAGGGACCTTGATCAGGCCCCACTAGTGCCACTCCTGCCCTGGGGATGCCTTTCCACACTCCAGGTCAGACCCTGCTGGTCACAAGAGGCCTCAAGCCTACCCTCGACCCAACGCCACAGCAGGGCCTCACCTGGCGACCCTCCGCACTCCCCTCGCTCTCCCTGCGCTTGGTGGAGGCCTGCGCTCCCCAGCCTGGCACCGCCAGGAGGTGCTGGTCCTGCCCCCGGCCCTCCCTTCTCCCTGCCGCCCTGGCCCTTCTCCCAGCCACACAGAGCCTGCCGACACCATGTCTACTGTGTCTCTTCACCTTGGCCAGGCCCTGGCACCTCCTTTCTGAACCTGTCCTGCTCTGCTGTGGCCACACCTGCCCAGCCATCAGCCCTGGCCCTCCCACCACTGCCTGTCAAACGTCGTCCCAGCAGGCCACAAGGCAAGCCCAGCGCAACCAGGGCTGTGTGGCCCTTGCAGTCACTGACCTCTGAGCCAGCAGCTGGGAGGGTCTGAGAGCCGGAGGGCGGCTGGTGCCAGAGTCTACAGCTGGTGCCCTCCAGTCCAAGCCTGAGCCCTAAGACGCCCTGCTCTTCCCAAGCCTCACGCTGGCTCCCGCTTCCCGGCCACCCTCCTGGGGTCCCTGCTCCCAGCTGTCGGGCTGTCGTGGCAGGAGAGGGGCTGAGGAGAAGGCCAGGTGCTGAACAAAGGGACTGTAGGCAAAGAGGTCACCCCCAGATCCCCTGTTTCTCTGCGCCTCAGTTTTCCATTAGCTCAGTGAAATGAGATTTCTACAAGCTAGGCCTGGCCTGGAGCCAGGGACAGGAGGGTCCCGTCCCAGACTGGCCTTCCTGACTTTCCCTCCTGGAGGCCGCAGGAGCTGCCCGAGCTGGCGGGAGCGAGCCTCTGCGGCGCTGCGTGAGGCTGGAACACGCATCAGAATCCAAATCTGGAAAGCCCAGAGCTGGGTTGCCGTGGCAACCTGCAGCCGACTCCCAGCCTGGCGCTCAGCCTCTCCGGGAGGGGCCGGGACTTGCCGGCTCGGCTGCCCCCACCTCCAAGGCCGCCGCCTCGGGCTCAACCCAGCCCCCACGTGGACACGGGAGAGGGGCAAGGCCACCTGTGTGCCTCTGCCCTGTCTGCCGGGCCCGGCAGGCTTGAGCTGGCTCCACTGCCTGTGTCCCCCAGAGTGAGCCCCACAGGCCCCCCAGAGTCCAGCAGGCCACCGCAGTGTCCTTCCACCAGCCAGGCGCCCCACCCGTTGCTCCCGCAGCCGAGCCCATCAGCTGCCTGGGCTGACAGCACTCCCAGGTGTGGCCCTTCCACCAGGGCCAGGGAGGTGACCCCCCCAGCCTCCCTCACAGCCAGGGTGCCCAGCACCAGAGCAGTGCGGCACCCACGTTCTCTCTCCCTTAACGGCACTCGCTTCTGACAGAGGAGGAAACAAGGTCAGGGATGTTAAATGACTTCCCAAGGTCAGGGAGCTGCTATGTGGTAAAGAGCCAGAAGTTTCCAGCTCCTAAGCCCAGACCAGTCCCATGGAGTCTGTTCCTGGATGCCCTGGGGTGAACATCCGTCCCCTTGGGGGCCCCTCACCTCTGGACTCACCTCACCAGCCCTCCAGCCTCGGGGCCGGGCCCAGTCTGCACACACAGTAGACGGACAGCGGCCTTCACCTTTCCATTTAATGGCCAAGTCAACACTGCCAGATGGTGCCCTCCTGCCTCATGTCCCCTGAAGAACCCACCCAAGCTGTGCTCGGCCTCACGCGCTGTGTCCCAGTCCAGTCGTGGCGCGGGCTGGCCTCATCTCAGCTCCCTCAGCAAGCTCTCCACGGAGCCCAGCAGGTCCCGGAAGTAGCCCTCGTCCTCGCCGTCTTGCAGCTCCGCGCTGGCCAGAGCCTGGTACTCGGCCTGCAGGCTGGCCAGCGTCCTGCCGAGCGAGGGGTCCTGGCGGTAGTGGTCCCGGCAGGTGGCCAGGAGGGCACCCAGGGTGTGCAGCACCTTCTCTCGGGCATCGTGCCCGGGCAGCGCCAGGAGGTGCGCCGTGATGGCACACCAGCCCTGCTCCCGCAGGCCAGGCAGCAGGTGCACCCGGCGGTACTGCTGCAGCTTCTCTGGGGACGTGTCCTGGGTCAGCTCGGCCTCCTCCTCGGCAAACATCTGCCACCGCACAGCCAGGTGGGGCGCGGGCGTGGGGAGAGAACACGGGAGGAGTCAGCTCCCAGGGGCCGGCTCTGCCCTTCGGACGGCCCCACCCGTCCTCGCGCCCGCCCGCACCCGCTCATGGGAAACGCTGTGCAGTGCCGCGTGCTAGAGAACCGAGACGGAGTCGCAGTTCCTGCCCTCGGGGAGCTCGGCGTCCAGCGGGAGAATAAAAACTAACGGAACGATCATCTAACAGCGCAGCGCGGGCGGGGACAGGCTGGGTTCAAATTCCTTCTCCTCCCACTGACCAACTGCATGACCCGAACTGCCACTCGGCCCCCCTGCGACCCAAGGTCGTGTCCCTCCCGTGGAGACACTAGACAGAGCCCTGTTCCCTCAGGGCTGCGGGAACAATGCCCTCAACAAACAAGAGCTCTGATGTCAGGTGCTATTCCGCCATCTGCACCCCCACAAGTGTTAGCCACATTGGCACCATAACCGCCACCTGTCGTCATCACTATCACTACAGGGTCGCTGAGGGAGTGGTTGCTGCCGCAGGCCTGTGGGATGGAGGCAGAGGTCACCTCCCCAAGTCCTCAGGGGTCAGGGGGAGTCCTCCCCCCAGACGCGGGTGGAGGCCAGTCGCACACGGGAGGACCATGACCACGGGCCTGGCCCACCTGGTGTTTGAAGAATGGCAGGTTGTTCCGGTTGACAGGGCATGGGCCCTGAGGACCAGGTTGGACAGAGCCCTGAGTGTCCTTCCAAGGAGGGTGGCCTTCATGTCAAGGGCCTGGGGAGCTATGGAAGGTGTGGGCTGCGAGTCACACACTCGGCGCGTGTCTGTGACGTGCAGAAGCCCAGCCCCATCAGCAGGCCGTGGCGAGAGCCGGTCCTGCCAGGCCGCCGGAGGCGAACAGTAGCACTTGAGCAGCTGTGCGGAGGGGCAGCGTCGGGGCTGAGCTCTCCCACACGGCGCCCCGACTGTACCCGCTGACCCCAGGGGAAGACGGGCGAGAGGAGGAGGCAGCGAGGCAAGCGGAGCCCAGGCAAAGCCCGGGCCGCAGCGCCTCCTGGTGCCACCTGTCCCAGCGCGATGCTGATAGCGTGTGGCTGACCTGGGCTGGCACAGGAAGCCAGGGAGGGGCGGGGCTCTGCTCCTGGGACGGAGAGGCTGAGAGGGACCCGTAGTCCTTTCCTGCCCTGCCGTGTCCCGCCCCTCCACCTCCAAGACACACCCAGCCCTGCCAGCTCTCCGCCTCCTCCCCACACGCCCTGCTCCTGCCTCCTGTCACACCCCCTCCTCTAGTCCCTACGACAGCCTGTGCTGCCCGGCCCCAGGCCCTGCACTGGGTGGCGTCTCTGATGATGCGACCTCGAGGCTCTGCAGGCTCTGCCCGTCTCTGCTTGGCCTCGTCCCCACTGGTCACACAACTCTTGCCTGGGCCTTCGCAGGTGCAGCTCCCACTTCCAGGTGCGCTCCCTCACGACCCGACCCCCCACTCAGATCTCAGTGCCACTGGACCTGCCTTCCCTGCTCGCCCAGAAGATGTGGCGCCCGAGCAAAGGCCTCCTCGGCTCACACGCTGCTACTGTTTGAACATGTCAAGCACCAGAACCTTCATTCCCAATGAGGCTGTGCTGGGAGAAGGGGCTCATGCGAGGGCCCTTGAGTGGCCAAATGCCGTCACTGTGGGAGTGGGCTCGGTCCCAGGAGAGCAGGTTGTTACAACGTGACTGTGGCCCCTCGTGCTTTTATTCACATGGGCTGTCACCTTCCACCAAGTCACGGCACAGCGTGAAGCCCACAGCCAATGTGGCTGCTTGATCTTGGACTTCCCAACCTCCAGAATTATGAGCCAAATAAACTTCTTTTCCTTAGAAATTACCTAGTGTGTGGTATTCTGTTACAGCAGAAAACAGAACCAGATACATGCTGTGGACGATTCTCTGATAAACATCCACCTGCAGGCGCTGGGGGCTGGGACCACGGGCTATTTCCCTAGCGCCGGGCACAGCCTCGGGCAGGGCAGACCCACTGTGGAAGGGCCAGCAGTGGGTTCCCCTGGGGTTCAGCAGCATGGATGCAGCTGAGGCCGTCGTGGGTCATGACCACAGGTAGGTGTCCCACCTCTGCAGGAGCCCAGGTGTCAGGGCATGGGCCTCCGCAGAGGGCCTGCCACAGGCCAAGGCACAGAAGAAAGTCCTGGGGCCTGGCAGACCACACACGGGGTGCATGGCTGACACCAGTGACCTGGGGGTAGGGCCACACTCTTCACGGGAATCCACCACTCCGCTGCCGCCTCTCATGCCCGTGCCCTTGAGGTGTGCGGCGCCCCGGCGGGCAAGCAGACGCACTGTCGCCCTCGGGCAGCTCCGGACTGGCCCAGTCTGGCTAGTTCTTCACTTTCTTAGGAACCACAGGAACAGGGATGTCCCGACTGCCTGGACTGGAGAGTACGGTCTGTCTGGAGCTCTCTGGCTGGAACTCCTGCACCGTCCTCCCTGGAGGAGGACATTCGTCTCCTCTGTCCCCAGTCGTCACAGCACCCAAGACCCCCACCCGCAGCTCCCAGGACCAGCCGACCAAGGAAGCCTTGGTGAGTCACCCGGGGCTGTGTTCTGGATGCGCCAACGCCACATGCCCCAGATGACAGGGCTGGGGGCGCAGAGATGCACACCCGAGACCCCAGAGAGAAGTTTCTCCTGGGAAATGCCCAGCCAGTTACACGTCCTTTTCCAGGTCCGAGGGCCCATCCCCAGGATGTCACCTGTGCCCAGGCCGGAGTAATTGGACCTGAGCACCACACGGCTGCCCCGCTGTTCTGAGGAACTCATGTCTGCAGCTTGGACAAGAGAGAGACACACACAAACTGAGAGATCAGAAAGGCAGAGCGAGCGGGCAGACAGAAGGACTGACAGAGGACTGACAGAAGAACTGACAGAGGACTGACAGAAGGACTGACAGAAGGAGGACTGACAGAAGGAGGACTGACAGAAGGAAGACTGACAGAAGGAGGACTGACAGAAGGAGGACTGACAGAGGACTGACAGAAGGACTGACAGAAGGAGGACTGACAGAAGGAGGACTGACAGAGGACTGACAGAAGGACTGACAGAAGGACTGACAGAAGGACTGACAGAGGACTGACAGAAGGACTGACAGAAGGACTGACAGAGGACTGACAGAAGGAGGACTGACAGAAGGAGGACTGACAGAAGGACTGACAGAAGGACTGACAGAAGGACTGACAGAGGACTGACAGAAGAAGGACTGACAGAAGGACTGACAGAGGACTGACAGAAGAAGGACTGACAGAAGGACTGACAGAAGGACTGACAGAAGGACTGACAGAGGACTGACAGAGGACTGACAGAAGGACTGACAGAAGGACTGACAGAAGAAGGACTGACAGAGGACTGACAGAAGAAGGACTGACAGAAGGACTAACAGGACAAGACAGCGCCCCCTCCCCGCCCCCCGCCCGGGAGAGAAGGCTGGGGAGGGTGCGCAGGGAAGGGTGAGGGGCCCCTTGGGCTCCGACATCCAGCGGCAGTTCCAGCGCTGCCCAGCTGTGCTCCACACACCAGCAAGCTGCTGTCCCCGGGAGCGGTGGCCTGAGAGCGGCGACTGAGAGCCCCGGCCGTGCTCCCGCAGCAGCCGGACTAAGGACCCAGGCCGGGCTGGCCGTCCTCTCTCCTCAGTTTAGACGCTTCTCAGGCTTGCAAATAACCGAAGTGGGCTGGGCCCCGAGTCTCTCCCAGGTGGCGAGCAACAGGGGTCCCTGGGCTGGCAAACAGCCGTGCTGAGCCCATGCCCGGAGCTCAAGTTCCCGGAGGAGGCACCTCCAGCTTTCTAGAAACGTAGGAGTTGCACCTCAGCACCGTCCCAGCCCCTGGCTGCTGGGTCTCCTGGCCGCTGCAAGGGCTCATCCCACCTGCTCCTCCCCACGCCCACCCTCGGCAGGTCACCGCTGGGAGGGCCACTGCCCGCCGTTTCTGGGCTTCCATCGCCTGACCCCTCTGCCCGCACACTCGGCCCTGACCAGGGCCAGCGCGCCCACCTGCCCACTCCCCCAGCCCTTCGGTTTCTGCTCAGCCACCACCTCCCACGGGACATGCTCACTAACACCCCAAGTCTCCTCGGTCCGCCCACCCGTCCATTCATCCCTCCAGACGGAGGGAAGAGAGACCAGGGAAGGGCTGGGTCTCGCGGCCAAGCAGCAAAGGCAAGGCCAAGTGAGGGACAGAGGGCAGGCCCAGGCACTCACCTTCTCAGTGACCAGGTCATAGAGCAGGGTGACCACACGCACGGCCAGCACGTCGGTGCCCTTCTCCTGCACCAGACTCCTCAGGACCTGCAGCCCGCCCAGCTTCAGGAACTGCTGCTGCGCGTAGGGGAAGTGGCGCAGCAGGGAGCACAGCGCGAACAGGACCTGGCGGGGCAGGGGTCTGGGTAGGTGGCGGGCCACGCGGAGCCGGCCCTGCCCGAGGCCCAGCCCCCAGGGAACACCTTGGACACAGGTCTACCCCAGAGCCCGGATGCTTTCAACAGCGGACAGACCGAGGCCCTGGGCAGGAAGGCAGGGGTGAGGCCCAAGGCTGCACCCGGCCCCAGGCAACTTGACATCTGCTTTAGTTGAGTGCGACCTCTCCCCTCACACCAGCCAGTGGGTGACACTCAGGCCCCCAAGGGTGACAGGCACAACCTGGAAAGGGACCCTTGCCTTTCCGGGCCGCAGGTGTGCGGGGGCTGGCGGGACGCAGGGCGCAGACGCACCTTCTTCTTCACGGCCAGCGGCTGCTCCGTGGCCAGGATGACCAGCAGCTTCTGCAGGGCTCCGCCTTCCACGGCCTCCACCTGGACCCGCGGGTTGCTGGGGAAGGAAGCACAGGGAATCGTGACCTCTCTGCCGCCGGGGACCGAGTGGCTGGGAACTGACGCCACACCAGCCATCCGAGGGGGAACAAGGAGCACAATGGACAACGTCCCTCCTGGACAAGCATGGACTCAGGCGGGAAACAAAGACTAACAGGTGTGGACCCACCCGGGTGCAGTGACCTACGGCAGGGGGGCAGGGCCAAGGGCCCCCACGCCGGTCCCCCGCTCCCCGGCAGCCAATGGCAGGGGTGAGCTGGGAAGGTGGGTCATCTTATCATTTTAAGATTATTCCGATGCCAACGGCGCTACTCCCGTGTCCCTCCTATAGGAAGCCTTTCCTGATGACCCCCAGGCCAGTGCTGGACGCTCCTCCTTCCATGGTCCTGGGCACCTCACACACAGGGGGCGGCCATGACTACGGGGTCTGTTCCCCTCTGGGTATGGAGCTCCTCTCCTGTCCTGGATCAGCGCTCAGCTGGCGCGTGGGAAACGCTGTGGAGTGTGGGACCCAGGAGCCTTTGAATTCCTCAGCAGATCCCTGCTCGCCCTCTGCTCTGCGAGAGCAGCTGCTGCGTTTTCCCTCCTGCCCTCTCAGTGCTCAGAGCCTGCCGTGTCGGGGACCCTGGCCGACAGGGAATGAATGAATGGAGGGACAAGCACATGCATACCAACATAAATGCACCAACAAACAAATGGGCAGCACGGAAGCACTCGAAACCCAGAGCTGCCTCTGGAACTCCCTTCCCCGTCCTGCTGGAGAAGCAGTGATGCGATTACAACAAACATTTCAGGCCCAGCCCTCCTGGTTGACAGGATGCAGGGCCAGATTGGTGGCTCACACCTATAATCCCAGCACTTTGGGAGACTGAGGCGGGACGATCACTTGAGGCCATGAGTTCAAGATCGCCCTGGGCAACATAGTGAGACCCCATCTGTACAAAAAATTTAAGAATTAGCCTGGCATGGCAGCATGTGCCTGTAGTCCCAGCTACTCAGGCTGAAGTGGGAGATTCACGTGAGCCCGGGAGTTGGAGGCTGTAGTCAGCTATGACTACGGCACTGCACTCCAGCCAGGGCAACAGAGTGAGACCCTGTCTCAAAAAAAACAAAAACAAAACAACTTTACTGAACTGCACATGTTCACTTAAAAAAAAAAAAAAGGATGTGGGGCCTCCACAGGACCCCTTTTGCCGGCTCCTTGCTTTCATCAGTTAGTGATCAATTAAGGAGCAGGCGCCTAGCTCAAGGACCTACGTGGTCAGGCCCTTGGGGAGGGGAGGGCTCTCCCACTCAGCACCCACCGAGAGGCCCCAGAGAAGAGGGGGCAGGCAGACAAAAAGCCCAAGGCCAGCAGCAAGGGGAGGGGCCAGGCCAGTGTCAGACAGTGGCTGTCACACCTGCCCACACAGCCCACAAAGGGCACCAAAGTCTACCAATGTCTGATGTCTCCGTGAGTCTCTGGCTGCCTTACCTTCGCACGGCCACAAGCTCCTGGGAGACCCCAAAAAGCACCTGCTCCTCCTAACCCCTGACCCTCCTGCCCAGGGGCCCTCACAGCATCCCAAGGAGTAGGGTCGGCAGGAGTTGGCTCCTTGTCCCAAATCCAGAAAAGCGGGCCGGGTGGGGCAGGTGACAAGAGAGGTCACGCATTGCGCCACTGCTCGCAGGAGGTGGCCTGGCACGTAGCAGGTGCTCCGCCAAAGCTGGCCGAATGGAACAGAGTGGGGCCCGAGTCATTCCCAGAGGATGGCTCAGCCCTTCCATCCCCAGCAGGAAGCAGCTCCAAGGTTCCAGGCGGACCTAGCACGCCGAGCCTGTCTCCTCATGCCTCTGTCCACGCGTCCGCTCAGGCGGAAAGGAAGCGCGGCGGGCCCACCACAACTCCCACGTTTGAGGAGCAGCCTGGAGATGGCCAGGGTCCCTGGGGAAGGGAGGCTGACAGCTCCTCTCCGGAGAGGCGCCGAGCCCCCTCCCCCCACAGAGCAGCAGCTGCTGCAGCGAAGCGGGAGCTAATCAGGGCCCTCTGCCATCACCAGCCTGAGGAGCGCTCACCCACGACAGCAGGTCTAGGGAGAGAAGGCGACCACACGGAGAAATTCACACAAACGGCAAATGCTGCCTCCCAGAGAAGGGGGCCCGGGAGGCACGACTGCACGTCGGCCTCAGGGAGCTGAGGGCCTGGCCCTCCCAGCCCTCGGAGGGGCAGAGACAGAGCCCACCGCGGCACAGTGGCCCCGGGAAACCAATCCCCCAGGCCTAGCAACCAAAGCCCTTCCATCTTCCATCCCAGAACCAGGAAAAAGAGAAGTTCTCTTCTCCAGAAGGTGACCTGAGCCAGGAGCCAGGCCCGCAACAGCGCGGCCCCGCTCGCCCCTCCCTCCGGCAGACGCCCGCGCCCCACGGAGGGACGCCCACTCAGGGTGGGAGAGAACAGAGCTCGGACAGGACAGGTGAACCAGGGAGAGAAAGAGAAAGCCTGATGACCTTCTATAAGCTGCTGAAGTCACTTCTATCAGGCAATAAATCTACTTTTTCACCTGAAGGGCCTGGGTGGGTGGAACAGGACGGTGGGCCCAGCACGGCCTGTGACAGAACACAGCCTGGCAACCCTGGCCCGGCCCAGACTTTCACTCAACCGGCTCGACACGCGCTCCTGCACCAGCTCTGGCCCTTCCCCAGGGCGCCCACGGCTTCGGGATTTCCCTGAAACACCCTGCTCCAGTAGCCTTTCAGTCAAGGGTTGAGGAGACGCAGCCCAAGGAGGGGGAAAGGCCAGGCCCGCATTTCCAGATGCCCCTCAGTCCATCCAGGTGAGGACAACAGGAGTCGGGCACTACATGAGCATTCTGTCCCCAAGGGCAGAATCTGCTCCTAGAAACAGACCCTCTGTCCCAGGCAGCTCGGCCTTGGACTCTGAAGGCCCACGGTGGCACAGGGGCGCGGCTGGGGGGGATAATGCCCCAGACAGCTCAGAGGAAGGCCCGGGGATACGCAGGGGCCAGGGCATGGAGGACCCTCCCCGTGGGAATCCTGTGAACAATGGCTGGTGACCTTGGGAAGTCCCTTGACTGCAGTTTCCTCACCTGTGAGGAGGCAGAGCTAAGACTACCGTGTGTTAAAGGCAGAATAGCTACCGAATGCCAAAATGCTACCAGTGCCTCACGGCCAGGGATCACAGTTACGGTGGGTTTGCTACACCAGGAGGCCAGCCTGCACCCTGGGGAGCACAACTCATTCAGCAGAGTGCCGCGGGCACATACTATAGGTGCTGGCCCAGCCCCCTACGGCCTGTGAGGGGCCAGTCCTCCTAGCTGGAAGGTGGGTGTCCTAACGGCGGGGATCCGAGGGCCCTGGCATGCATCAAAGTGACACCAGTGAGCTGGTGTGCTCAAAGTCAACAGAAGGCTATTAAGGACGTAGCTCATCTCCGATGAGATAAATGAGAATAAACCTTGTTCAGGGCTAAGCCGGCTGGACTAAATAAATACCATTAGCACTCGGATCACCGGGACGCTCACAATCAGCGGGCGAGTCAGCTGTCTGAGTGCTGGGGCCGGCAGCAGCTGCTATGCTGTAAATCTTGGAGGGGGCAGGCGCTGGGTGCATTGCAGAAATGGAAGTGATTGCATCTGCAGAACCCAAACAGTTTGGGTCAGGGTGACAGCAGTGTGGGTAATCTGCCGAGGGTCAGAGGTCATCTTCTGGCTAGCTGAAGCTAAGCAGGGGCTGGGTGGAGGGGGGAGGGGAGAGCAGGGGCTGCCCTGGGAGTTGCAGCCAAGCCGGCCACAGGGCCCACGGGAACGCTGACCACGAGCTGCCCTTTCCTAACCCTGGCACTTGGGACTGGCTGAGGGCAACATGAAAATGTGGAGTCCCTTGTTAAAGAATTATTAGGAATTTCTAGAAAGTAAGAGTCAAGTGTGGTAGTAGCAGGGCCGTCGGGGTGTGTGCAAAGCGCCTGAGTAAGCAGCACAGACACCCTGATCAGGGCTGAGTCGGGACACTAAGGGCTCAAGAATGAGCGGAATTTTAATCTGCGGAAAAGGAGAAACACTGGCCAAGGCAGAGCTGTGGGGTGGAAAATAAGGATGACGCTTACTGGTTAGATGGGGCAAGGAAACGCTAAGGTGCAACTCTAAAGAGAGCATGTGTCACCCAGACTCTAGACCACACCAGGACACTGGGGGCACAGCAGAGGGATGTGCTTGCTCATGAGTCCTCACAATATTTGCAAGTGGGACAAATATTCTTTTCATTCTCTTATAACAGAGGAGGAAAGTGCCAGTTTTCTTCCAAAATGCTCCTTGAGAAGATGCCATGCACTGCGGGCAGAGGGCACATCTCACGGGCATACATGGGCAGCCCTGCCTGGTGAAGCTGTGCGTGCTCACCTTCTTGCCCGGAAAGATTTTCTCTGGTGGCCTCACTTTGCCTGTGCCCTACCTAACACGTGGCCTGGATCATCAGTGGGACACAAGGATTTGCGGGATGTGCATCCTGAAATAGGCGGGTTCAAGAGGGACCCGCACTCGCCTGCCATCTAGGGATGGAAGGGTTATTACCAACTGGAGTAAAAATGGAATAGTTTCACCAAAAATAACTGCCACATACAACTTCTCCGCATGACAGTGAAGCCCCCCAGAGAAATGAAACGTCCACCCTGTACCATGAGCCTCACACTACCTCAGTGTGCGGGGAACCGCACTGGGCCCTCAGAAGTTTCAGCTGGACTCTGGGGAAAGGCAGGGCCACCACCTGACCCCTTCATGCACAGTCCCTGGGAGAAGCCAGTCATGTAAGCAAATGTCTCTTTATCTTCTGTAATCTGACTCTTCCCTCCTCAGTCTGTGTTGTCTTTCGTGACAGTGGTATTTATGAAGAGTATAGGCCAGTTGTAGAACGTCCCTCAGTTTGCATTTGTCTGATGTATTCTCACGATGAGATCGAGGTTATGCATTCTCGTAGCAATATCACAGAAATGATGTTGTGTCTTGC